TATTTATAGTTTGGGAGTCAACCCTAGGATGAAGACTCATCTGCCTTTGCCTCTATGTGATGCAGGAATTATCTGAAAGCAAGTGCAGGTGGGGAAGATGGGCCTTGTTGAACAGAGCTTTGGCTGGAACTCGAGGGAAAAGTAGAGTATGACCTTTGGAAGAAGGAGCAGGTAACTCAGGAGGACTTCAGGGATATAATGAGGTTATGCAGGGAGAAAATGAGAAGTGCCAAAGCCCAACTAGCTCAATCTGGCTACTGCTGTATAGGCCAAAGTTTCTGTAACTCCATCACCAACAGCAGGAAGGGTGAGGAGAACCTTTATCCTTTATTGGATGCAGGAGGACACAGTGACAAAGGAAGAGGAAAAGGCTGAGATACTTAATGCCATCTTTGCCTCAGTCTTTAACAGCAAGACCAGTTGTTTTCCAGGTTCCCCAGGCTAGAAGGACGATCCATCAACTCAGACCTGTCCTCCTGACCTTGGTGCCAGGGAATGTCCTGGAGCAGATCAGCCTCAGTGCCATCATGTGCAAGACAGCCAGGGGATCAGGCCCAGCCAGCATGGGTTTATGACAGGCAGGTCCTGCCTGACCAACCTTATCTCCTATGACGACAAGGTGACCTGCTGAGTAGATGAGGGAAAGCTGTGGATGTTGTCTACCTACCTGGACTTCAGCACTTTGATAGTGTCTCCCACAGCATTCTCCTGGAGCAGCTGGCAGCCCACGGCTTGGACAGGTACACTCTTCCCTGGGTTAAAAATTAGCTGGATGGCCAGGCCCAGGGAGTGGTGGTGAATGGTGCCATAGCCAGTTGGCAGCTAGTCACTAGTGGTGAAACTCATGGCTCAGGGCTGGGGCCAGCCCTGGTTAATAGCTTCACTGGTGATCCAGACAGGGGAACAAGTGCATCCTCAGTAAGGTCACAGGTGACATCAAGTTGGGCAGATGAGTAGGAAGGCCACTGGAGCCTGCACTGCTGTGTTTGAGCTGTGCTTCCCTGGGCTCCTGCTCTGCCAGGAATGACAATGACCAAGCAGCCAGCTAAAGAATGTTTGTAATTTTTACCTTGGTGGGTTCAGTTACACAACACTTTGAGCTTGTTTAGGAGAGCTGTAACATATTCTCTGCTGGAGGCACAAACAGGACAGAAAATCTACCCGAATTGCTGGGCTGAAACTACCCCCTACCTTTAGCCTCCTGCCTTCCCTCATCAGTTTCTGGATAACTCTTTCTGATGTTGTTTAAGAAAGAAACCAAATTTAGAGTGTGTGTGTGTGTATAAAGCTCAGGAGTCAAAACATCAAAAGCTTCTTCCCAAAGCTGCAGCCACTTGAAAGGCTGCAGTCCCTGGGCAGCTGTGTGAGGCTTCACCCACACCAACCATCAGGCACTCTAACCTGGTTTAAGTTTCATTACAGATTGAGCCAAGTTAAATTCTCTCACTCTGGCTCCAGGCCGGAGCTGGACACAATTACATGAGGCCACCTGCCCTGACCTGGCTGAGACATGGCCCTGAGGCAGCCCTGGAAAGCTTGCAGACAGGCTGCTACACCTGCTGATGCCTTTTGGCTACCACCAGCATGCAGCCTCAGGGATGAGAAAGTAGCTCATGTAAATGGGAATAGAATAGAAATCACTCTAGGAAAAAAAGTAGGTTTTATGATACCTGGTACTTGAGCAAATGTTCAGCACCACCTGTACACTTAGAAAGAAATCTTCCTTCACAGAGAGAAAGGCAGCAAACACAGATACATGTGCTCAAAAGGGATGGGTAGGAATATTCTCTGATGAGGGACTTCGTCCTGTGTGACAAGAGAAACTTCCACTCTCAGCAGGACCACAAAAAGCACTGAAAACAAAGATGTGTTACTCTTCTTTCACATATACAATATTCCCCTTGGAAAGGCCATTTAAATAATGAGAAACACTGTGAGAGAAGGACTTCTGTCTAATTCAAACACCCTTCAGGATGAACTTCATTCTTCTAAGGAGTCACAGCTCCCACTGCCCAGCAGTGAGGATACACATCTCTCATCAGACATAATCCTTCTAATTGTCCTTCCTCCCTCACCCAGCGTGTGCCAGGATTGAGCACTGTCACACACACAGGTGCAAAAAGAAGTTAATACATTGATATTAGCCATTATATAAGATCACCTCTCTCCTCCAAGAAGGATTCATGCTACTGAGTGACCAGAACAAAATGCCACCTCCCCTCAGCCATCACTTCATTGGGTTGAGCCCAGTTTAATAGATGAATTATCAGATTTGTGCAAGACAGTTACCTCTAACACAAAGGGGAAAAAAATAAAATCACAGCAACATATACACACAAAACAAGATACACAAAATAGAGCTAACTTTATATACAGGTTATTAGCAGCTAGACATAACTTCATTTAGTACATGGCTTTACTTACTACAGCTTTAGGCACAGAGAAGAATTTATCAGTAGGATATCTGCTAGAATGAAGGGCCACAATGAATACCTCGTTCCAAGTCCTCCCTGGACAGAAACTGCTTTAGGTAAAGATCTAACTCTCACTTCCCACCAGTTGAGGACACAGCCCTGCACAAAGGATGACAGAACATGATCCAGCTGATTCAGCATACAGCAACTTCAGATATTAAACATCTAATTTGGTTTTGTTTTTAAATAGGGTTACATGACAGAGTTACTGAATTGGACTGACTTTCAATGAAGGAGGGTTTTCCCCTCCCCCCGTTTGCCCAGCATGGACTCTCAGCTGTAAACAACTCAAAGAGGAGCTGGCAAGAAATGATTAGATGTGAAGATTGCTCTGTACGCACTTCACATCCATAATGAAGAATTTGCTTTAGCAGGATTTAAAAGCACAAAGGTCATGAAACATTTACATTTACTCAGCAGGTTATGTTAATAAATTATGATGCACCATTCACACATAGGACTCTGTTCCAGCCTGCACTGAAGCACATGCTTGGATGTGTTTTATGTGCTCCCTTGTCTTTCTGATTTAGGCCCACAGACTCAGAGCCCAGCAGAGTAAGCATGTGCTTTCCTTGCAGCATACAAGCAGCCTTTTTTGTTTCTGCAGCACCTCTCACGTTTGATTATGCATGCCTAAGTGCTCTGCCAGCCCAGGAATGGCCACATATTGTAATTACTGATTGCTTATGTATAGTAAAGCCTCTCACAATGAGGAACATGATCACTTACCCAGTGAAAAGACTGAAAAGCTACATAACAGAACCAGCCAGATACCGTGACAACACAATTAAAAATTTAAGCAGCAAGCAGATAATTTAAAAAAAAAACAAAAAAAAAAAAAAACCAAAAAAACCCACTTAACTTATGAGGCAGGTTGAGAATGACACAAAGGTTTTTCCTTCACAACAGCTTCACTTAGGAGTACAGCTCAGCAAGTTTGAAATACTTTATCACAAGAACTACAAACTTGTTTATCACAGTTATGTCAGAGCTCCTTGCCAAAGGGTGTGTCAGTTTCTGCCATAGCCATTCCCCTCCTCTTCTCCAAGGGTTATTGCTCAGCTGCTTGGGAAAAGGAGTGGGCTGCTTGAGGCTTTACAAAGTGCAGAGAATAAGTCAGTTTTTCCCTTTAGAAACAAACAAAACAGTGAGAACTCAAACATGGAGGAACAACAAAAAAAAATTTAGAGGGTTTGGAGTTTGGCATTTGGTTTTAAAGTGGCTATTCTTGATGTTTTCAGGTATACAAAAAGAGAAGGAGTTTTGATGAGAACGAGCAGCTTTGCCATGTAAAAAAAAAAAAAATCATACCAACACACAAATATATTTTGGGACCATCTTTAAAAACCTGTCTGTTGAACAAAGGCAAAATACCACCAACTCGAGCCATTCAGGAACAATATGCTCTTACATACAGCTCCCCTGTAACTCCACTTAGCCTGCAAGAATTTTGGCTGTAACTTCTGTTATGCATTGGCAGGGCAGAATCAAATAAGGCTGTGAACAGAGGCTTATTAGGACTGTCAAACTACAGGAAGATCAAGTGACAGTAACAGAACTTACAATTACTCAGTGTACTACAGCTCCTGTTCAAAAAGTAACAGTTGCTTCCCCCCAGGAACCCTCATGTAAAAGACAAGACTTTTAACATAAGGTTCTCTCATTTAGTACAAAGTTAACTTGTTCTTATGGCTTCTCTGCTGTGAGATGGTCACTGGTACAGAACAGTTGGGGGCACAGACTGTCAGGAGACTCTTTGGCTGTCAGTGTGAAAACTGTGCATGGTGCATATCCTTGAGGCTCATCGAGTGCCTTTCACTGGACACATGGGTTGCTCGAGTGTGACCAAGTAGCAGGTGGCTGGGATGAAAGGCAAGACTTCAGGTACAGTCAAGTGATGCAGTCATCCACTCAGCTTGGGCTGCTCTGCCCAGGAGAAGGTCAAAGCAGAACTCACCCTGTGTGATCTTGAGTGAAGCGCACACAGAGCAAGGGAGAAGACTCCACCACTGGGAGGGAACAAAGCCAAGTCAGGTAACACAGACCACAAAAAGTCAGAAGGGTGTCACACTGGGCAGAAATTTCAGCTTTGACATGATCTCGAGCTCCCACAGACAGACAGACAGATGTGAGCAAGACAAATGGAGCTCTCTGTTTTGGCTTCAGAAAGAGCAAAAGGAAGATTTGCCATTGGGTTTGCTATGTACAACAATACTGCACTGTACACTTCATTAATGAGATGCTGCCTGCTGCAGTCCAGCATTAATTAAATAAAATTCCTCTTAGCCACACAGAGCAACAGATGAGTATCTCTGTAGGAAGGAGAGCCAAAACCCACTGCTGTGGTGCCAGTCCTGGGATAAACATGAGTGGCCACTCCACAGTGTCTAGTGCCTCCCTAGCTTGCCTGAAGCAGAGAACTTTCCCTTTTTTCTTCCAATCCGTTTGATCCCAATCCTGTTGGGACTGTTCTAACACAAAGCCATGTCATGACTTCCCCCCACTGCCACAACATTCCCATCCACGTTAGGCAGTCTCTTTGAGCAGTCCCAGTTTCCTAAGTGCCTCTCTCCTGGCCTCTTCTGTTGAGCCACGGCCAGAAAACTTCACCGTTATTCCTTGGGATCGAAATCCTGAAGGTCTAGGCAGCGAACCTGCTCTCCTCCTCATGTCTGAGTTTAGGCCAGGTTGTTTATAATCACTACAACCTTTTTCTGTGCTCTGCTGTGTGCTGATGACCTTGTTAGCAGCAAGAGCTACCTCAGGTTTGATTGTTACAGTTTTGCCCATAGGAAGGAAAGGGCTGGGCTCACTTTTTAAAATCTCATGGATGTTTTGATATCCATTGGGAACAGTGTCTGCCTGTTTGGGCTGCACATCAAGCTGCTGAGTACAAGGGGCATGGTCCACTTGGTCCTGAGCTGGCTTTCCCTTAACTAGGCCAAGTTTTGTCAGGGCCTCATGTCGTGTTTGCTCAGAGGAGAGATCCCTTAAGGAAGAACTTCTGCTCCGTGACAAGAAATCATTCTTGCGCAGCTTCTCCTCCAGCTCAGCTGCCAGAAAAGCTCCTCCATTGATGTTGGCCAGCACCTGAGCTCGGCGCTCCTGGACGTTAACCGCTGCTTTGGAAATCGTCTCACTGAATTCTTTGCCACTGACATTCGTTATGTTGATGTTGCTTGGGAACTTGTGCAGTTTGGGTGCAGGTGGAGGAGGGTGCTTTGGTGCAGAGAAATGATCACCATTGGCTACCAGGACTTTCTTTCTGTCTGAATTCCCTTCCTTGAGGGCGCTGGGGAATCGTGCTCTGCTCTCTGCCTGCTGCTCTGACATCTTCTGGGCCATGATGAGTGGAGTGGGCACAGAACGAAGCAGTTTTGGGTGCTGCACTGGAGGAGGGAGTGGAGGAGGCAGAGGAAGCATCTCAGACATGGAAGGTGGTGGTACAGGGGGATGTGGGGGAATGTCAGCAGGTACAGCTGGCTTAGGGCTCTCTGCTGTCCGGGTACAATCCAACACTGAAAGACAAGGCAGCAATGACATCAGTAAGTCTTTGCAGAGAGCAGAATGCAAGGATTGCTTTCAGCATCATTTCCTCACCCCCCCAGACTTCCTAACTCAAACCCAGCCCACATTGCCAGAAGAAACCATAACTGAACTCCCAGCAATGGAATCTTGTAGGCAATGCTATAGTTCACATCACCATATTTACAATGTGTCTCCTTCTGCCTTTCACTCAGTCTGCATGTTGCTTCACTGTTTCAATGACTGCATTTTTTTTTTTGTAAGAGTTTTGCAGTTCTTATTCTGTATTGAAACAACCAGAGAGGACACATTACATCCCACTGTAGGTACTAGCCAATAAATCCATTCTCAAAGAGAGCAAACCCTACAAGGTGACAAATCCAACATGCTACACACTGTCTTGTCACAAACTTATTGCTAGGATCATGTGCCTTTCAGTCCCACACAGAGTAACACTGAAAACAATCTTCTGTCTTAAAACTCTTAGAGAAAATCTTAAGAAGTCCTAGAAAAAAGCAGAGCTTGAAGAGATTGACCACTACTGTCTGCCTTGCTGCAATGACTACACAACAGTGACAGCCACTAGGCAGAGGACTGGGAGAGCTATCCAACAACTTCATCATGTATGTGACCTTCATGAGAGAAAAGGAAAAAAAAAAAGTTACAGTAACAGTAAGAAATTCAGAAGCCCCAAGACAAATTAAAATCACAGTCCTCAGAGCTCCTGATGTGTAACAAATTCATCTTGGGGTAGTAAGAAAGGTTCAGACTTTGTTCAGCTGTTTCTAATGAGAACTAGAATAGGACAGGACTAGGTCAAAGAAAACCCATACTCACAAGAAATATGACTACCTGGTTCTGTATCTCTGCCAGAAGGTCCTTCATGGTCACTACTCTCAGGTGTTGACTGTACTAAGTCGATGATATCTTCAGTCTCTGAATGACTGGACACATTTTCTTCTGTGGACCTTGGAGACTGACAGTGGATGCCACTGTCACGCAGAGCCATCTCCTCCAAGTCATCTTCTAAGGCATCGATGGTTTCCTCAAAGAACATGAGAACATCCTGTTCTTCGTGAGTTAAGTATTTCAGACTCTCATCATCCTATGGGAAAAAAAGAAAAAAGCCAGAAAGATTAACACCCTACAGGGAAGTAACTGACAGCAAACACAGCAGCCCTTTTTGAAAGCTGAAAGTAGGAGGAAACAGGCAGCAGTTGCATCAGAAGCATCTCCTGCTTGCTGTATCATCCCTTCCCAAAGAAGCACTCAGCCACTACAATGCAAGAGAGGGGAAAAAACAACACCAAAAATAAACCAAGAGAGGAAAAAACCCACAAACATCAAAAAAAGGCAAGTGGTTACAGGGCATTGGTTTTGACCCAAGAACAGCAACTGATATTTGATCCTTTAAAGGGCTGGGACAGCTTCTTCAGGCTCCAATCTGGAGTAAGCTGTTTCAGTTGTGTCACCTTCAGGGACAAGCCTTGCTGGGGGAAAGGTGCATTCAGGACAGTCCAACAAACGAGTTGATTCCCTTTTTGACCTAGTCCAAAGTGGGACTTGGCTTCTAGAGGCACTGCTGGAGCTGAGAGGTGTCTTTACCACTACAAACATATGTTATCCAGAGTTATGTGGTAGATTACAAAGTAGTAATAATAATGAGGGAGAAGGTTTCTAAAGATTTTACCTTTGAGTTACAGAAAGGAAAAATTAAGAGTAAATAGTAAGATGTGTTCCCTAGCAGTAAAGTGCCTTGGGCTATTTTCTTAACAATCCTGCACAGAAGTGATAATCACTTGGATTATCCAGTCTTCATTTTCTCTGAGTCACTGCTCTTGATTAATTTATTAACACAGTATCAGTGAGAGAAGCTAAGCAGCAGCCTGCTAGCTCTTTTCCCTCCACCCTGGGAAACACACACATTTCCAGAAGCTTGGAGATGACAAAGAATGATTAAGAAACTCACTATGTTAAGACAATGGATGCAGGTAATCACTTGGATTATCCAGTCTTCATTTTCTCTGAGTCACTGCTCTTGATTAATTTATTAACACAGTATCAGTGAGAGAAGCTAAGCAGCAGCCTGCTAGCTCTTTTCCCTCCACCCTGGGAAACACACACATTTCCAGAAGCTTGGAGATGACAAAGAATGATTAAGAAACTCACTATGTTAAGACAATGGATGCAGGAAAGACATTTCCCAAGAGAACTGTGTAAGTTATGGAATGTAAGTATGTATTGTTGAAAAGTAAGTGAGGTTTTCCCTTTCTGGACTGAATTTCTCACCTGCCAAGAATACACTGGAAACTTTGCTGTCTAACTTAACAAGAAGCACTTGTCAATGGAGGGCTGGGAGAATTTAAGTAAATACATGAAGGTATGCAGCACAAATATCCAAGAGGTAGCCACATTCTTGCTAGGGCAGCACAACTTGCTTCAAACTCACCATGCCTGTTCAGATCATCTTACATTAGATTAGACTAGGAAAAAACTGTGCACAGCTCTACCTGTTCACCCAACTCCTTGCACAAACAAAGCTTTTATCCCCATCCTCAGCACTAAAAATAAGAACAACATACCTCTGTAGGAAGGTTATGCCTACAGATTAAGGACTATAATATGCTGCATTGTACCAAGTGGCACTGAGTCTCCAAGCACTCGAAATGCTACAGATGAGAAAATAAATGCTTTAGGGCTCTTAGCTGCCTTCTCACATGAACACAGCAGTCTTTGGCCACAGCTGGCACAGTTGTCTGTTTAAAGAGAAGACTGAAGTCTTGCAGGGAAATGCAAGTTGGTTTCAACAAGAGACTCATGCTGCAACTACATTTCTAGAGATTCAGATTTGTTGTCATCAGGATGAAGATGGTTTGATGGCTGGGAAAGATGTACAGAGGTGAGAGCATTTCTCATTTAGTCTCACCATCCACAGCAAACTGTCAGAATCAGGAACTAATTCCAGCTTGCAGCAAAACTGTTACAAAAGCTTAAATTTAGATGCCATTTGCAATTGCCTATTTAAAGGACAAACCTCAAAGGCTGACGTATTCCACAGCTTGCACCCACCACATGTCAGAGTTTTCAAAGGCCAAGGAAAGTTTTACAGCTGCACTTGAAAAGCAAGAGACAGACAAGCCTTCCTTTTTTCTTTTTTTTTTTTTTCCCTTAATGGATGTTGCAATCTCCTTCATTCCCCACCCAAATACTCATAGGGCTGCTATGTCTAGTAGGCGAGAGAATGACAGGAAAGGAGCTGTTGTTAGGTAGGCCTGAGCTGGAGCTGAACAGGACTCCAAGAACCTTTTGTTGAGAGTGAGCTCATTGCAAGAGCCAGACTTCCACAGGCAAAGGGAAAAAAAAAGCAGAGAAGGTTGTGTTTAAGAAGTTCATAGTGGCAGCAGATCCAGAGGGTGGTACAGGTCAGGAATTTAAAAACCTGCTCCCACATGAGCTTAACTCACTTATCAGGAGCTGAGCACAACAGTATGTAAATTGAAGAAAGCCTTCCAGAAGCCCTTCCCTCCATGCTTTCCTATGCTGTAAGACTTTTCCATGCCAGGTAAGATTTGCAGGAGAGCTCTGCTGATTTACCATCCTGCATGGACCTTGCTGCAACGAGCGAAGGATCTGGAAGGAGTGGAATGAGTAACCATCCCTTGCAAACACATTTGCAGTCCATGGCATACCCAGGTGTCAAAGGCTAACCTCATCTCTGTTAGCACTTCAATCTCTTTCCTCATGCAGTTTCCCCTCAAGATGATTGATGTCACAATTCATCAGCAAAGAAAAGACAACAGCTCTGGCAAATGGGCAGCTTAGGTCAGGTCACTGTACTGAGATGTAAGGCATCCAGTTGGGCTAGAAACTCCCTCAGGCAAGGCATGTTTCAGTTTGCCAGACAAGGAAACAATCCCATTTTAGACACAAAAGCACAGTGAAAAAACACCTACTGGAGCTGGTCAAACCAAAGCAGCTCAGAGATGTACAGCAAGCAATGACTTGCTTTACCACTGCTCTGACAACAGGGGTGTATTATAGAAATCCCACTTGGACCACTTGTATCATAGCAAAGCTTTCAGAAGGATGGGAGGAATCTTTTTGTAGTGAACAGGTGCCAGTTTTACCTAAGGTTACCAAGTCTATTTGCAATTAGTTCATTTTCCAAATATTCCAAGCACTGGAACACTACATATTCTTTCCAGGCTGGTTTTCCAGGCCTCCTTTCTCCTTGATGAATATGAGTTTTTACTAGTCAAAGAGAAGTTTTTTCAGCTACTTGAGTTTCCATCTACTCCCTACTCTTGATACACAAACATACCTCCCAAAACTAAATCTCACATACACCTAACAGTACAGGCTTCAAAGCTACTGTCAAAAGATGGCCTAAATTTGAAACTTGGAAATTGTGCCTCAGCTTAAATTAAATTAAGAAGGTTAAAAAACCTGCTTGGACAGAATGAATTGGGGATGCAAACAGCTGAAATAGCTGACTATGCTCAGCTGGCATTAATATTTTAGCTCTCTGTGCAGCCAAACATTTCCTGCTTATGCCAAACAGGAAAGAGTCTGTTATGATAGTGTTTGGTATAAAAGAGGTAAAAAAGGAGTAAGAAAATAAAAGAAGAACAGAATGTGTTTCATAAAAAAGACACCTGTCCAAAACAGTGATGTAATGTCAGGGGCCCACAATTTTCACATGCATTTGGATCAATTCTGAACATGACATCCAGAGAATCCTAAGGCCAGCACAGCTCTGACAGAAACAGAACAGTACAGGAAATCCCAAGACATCTGCAGTGCTTAAAAAAACCCCAACCAACCAAAAAAACCCTCTAAAAACCACTAAAGGACCAAACTTCAACTGGCAAAATACCAGAGGAACACCAGATTCAACTGATTTACCAATCACTTGACAATGCCAAAGAATTAACAGGCACAATTCCATGGGAGAGAGGTGACTAGATGCTTCTCAAAATAAGCCATGAAGGGAGCAAACTATTCTATCACATTGTAAAAGGACAGAGAAGCACCACTTGGGCCACAGCCTGTTAACAAGACAATTCTCCTTGTTAGAAGAAAGGGGTGACAAAGAAAGCTCTGCATGTAGGGACAGAATCAGAACAGGTACAAAAGCTTTAGCACAGATGGAAAAGGCAAGTCCCTCTGATTAGATTTACAGAAAAGGGAAACAGAATGGATTGTACTGCTGTGTTCCTTAAGTTAGAAACAAGTGAATTACAGATAAGGACATGAACTACTATTACAGGATCAGACCAAAAAGTCCATTTAGCTCAGCAACCAGGAATGCACAGGACAGGGGAGCAGGGCTGGGGTGAAAAATATTGCTGTAGATTGGATGGATTTATATTTTTCTTCCCTAAATCCTTCTAGTTTCCAGCAATACATGGCTTAAAGACTTCCCAGATGCCTCCTCATCTGTATACTTAATAACCCTTAATGAGCTTTCCTAGCATGAATCCATCTCATTGTTTGAGCCATGGACATGGCTGGCACTCTCAGCATTCTGTGGCAGGGAATTCCATGGTGTAATTGTGTGCTGTGTCAGAAAGTGCTTCCTTTACAACCCACCATCTGATGATTTTGATAATACCACTTCATTTGGTGAAGAAGACTATAATACTGAATGTTGTTTTCTTCACTTTAGGAGCATAATTGTACCCATGTGCCTCATGAGAGGTAGCAAAGCATATAATCAATAGGTCCTAAGTGAGGAAACAAATTATCTACAAGTATTTAAAAGATCAACTAGATTAACTAAAGTAATAAACTGACTAAATTACCCCTAACTTAGTTTTAAAAAAGCAAGCTAAAGATCTACTTAAACTCTGAAGACATCTCTTCAATAGACAAAACCTTGGGCTGATCAACTTATCATTTCTTTTTTCCCTTTAATTTCTGTTAGAACAACATTCAGAAAAATGGGGAGATATTTCAGGCAAAAGCCACTGAACTTTTTACAAAACCCAAATAACTTCATACCAATCTCATTTCTCATGAGATGGTTACTGACTTGGCCAATAGATGTCACATACTTTGATTCGAAGCCTTTATGACATGGCCCACCCAAAATTCACTCACAGA